GATTGTGATGTTTTCGAAATTGGTATTTATGATTGTTAAAGTAGGTAGTTATTCAAATTTATAATTTATATCCCCAAAATATCGAAATTTGAAAGGTACCATTATGGAGACTACATTGAAACTTGACCTATACCAACAATTGCACCCAATTCGGTTGAAAAACTGTAATATGGGGGCGATTGTGATACGGCACACCAGTTTCAGATTATAGCGGCTGGCAAAATGTTTTTCAGTAAATGTCAGTGGTTTTACATAGTCCCATATAAAGGTCCCACGCGTATTTTGACGGTCCAATACCGTATTTTCCATCTTATGTGGCTATAATGAATCAATTTGGGGTTTCAGAGATTACACAACCTCCTGATGAAAAAAAACACGTTTCTACATGTTCTCCATATAAAGCCCCGTCCCGTTTAAGCACTTTAAGTATCCTACCATCACGAATATAAGAAGTACAGTTTATGAGTCTCCATGGTGGACTTTAACGTCTTTTGCAACGAATTTAACGTATTGTGTTATTTTTACACATTTCACATTTCCGACAATTATACAATCGAATTTTTAACATTGTAGACAACTCATTAAACTGCAAGTATATATTTGAATCCTCTGTGACTGATTTGAAAAGCGAGTGTATTTTTTGGAGAAGCACGGAGAGCTGTGAACATTAGCAGATTTAAAAATGAATAAAATCATTATTTCACTTACCTTCTACAAAAATTTACATTTCAATTTCAATTTTCAGTTTTACGGAATTATTGAATATTTACAAAACTACTACTTTCAAGCAGGTGAAAGAAGATAAAGTAGAAAAAAAGGTGAGTGAAGAATGTATGAAGAAGTGATAAGAGAGAAAGCGAAACTATTTTCTAGTAAAATTTATTCATTGAAAAAAAGTATATATAGAGAATCGTGTGTGTTGAGGGGTGGTGATTTTATTGTTATTCTAATTTTTATTTTTGAGTGAATTACGAAAAAGAAATAACAACAAATGGTTCAATATCAATATCATAACAGTACCAGTAGTAGGGGTATAATCTTTAAATCTGCCATATCCAAGAATTTGTTTTCGATTATATGTATTTTTTTTAGGAGAATAGATGTGTATTTGTGTGGGTTATTTTTATTTCAAAAAATTTATTGGTTGAGAGCACACACATTAAAACACAAACACGCACACAAACATATATTTAGAAAAATAAGATAAATAAACGGTTTTAGAGAATACAAGAAATCATTGAATGTTAAAAATATGTATGTATGTATGTACGTATCTATGTAAGGATGTCGGTAGGTATGTAATTTAGTATAATTTAATAAAGAAAAAAAATCAAACAATTCATATTCCAAACAATTAAATTTTAAAACTAGGAACAGGAGCAAACGGGTTGAAAATTTGTAAAAGTTTTCTTTTTTGTTTAACAAAATTCCATTTGCAATAACAACTATGACACTCTGTTTTATGTTTTTTGCCCTTGGAAACAAAAACAACATGACAATTAAAATCAATCGAAAATAATCGGTAATCATTGGTCATTAAAAAAGTGTTTTTTTTTTTTTGTTATGTGGAAATTACACAGTGCTACAAATTTGAACATAGAATTATATTATGTCAGAAAACAAATTAACAACGGCGGCAAAAAGTGGTAGTTGGCTATGGGTTGTCGTTTTGCTACGAGCCGTGCTGGACGGCGATAGGCTGGTCGGTTGGGACTGGGTTCAAATCTCCAATCTTGATTGGGTAGGTATGTTGCCACGTCTGAAAATAAAGTACCGTGTCTTTCTTAAAGAAATGTACGACTAGTCAGTCGATAAACAATTTTACAACATTTGCATTGGGTCGACTAAACGTTTCAATTGAAGTTTTAATGTCGACAACTCGTATATTCGCAAAATACTTCCCATTTTCCACTCAGTCGCAGGCAAACAGTCTTTTATAACAACGAGGTCCCCTTTCTTTACTGAAATTTCCATTTATTTTTTCATGTAATTCATTCAGATATTCGTTTTCCAACCATATACGTTCGCAAAATCCTTCCCATTTCCACTCAGTCAGAGGCAAAAGGTCGTCTTTTATAACCACAAGGTCCCCTTCCATTACATTTTTCTTTTCCATTTATTTCTTCTATGTAATTCATTCAGATATTCGGTTTTCCATCTATGGCAGAAATGTTGTGAAATAATGTTTAACATTTTCCATTTATTAACAAATTAAATATCTGTGTCGGAGATATTTGGTTCTGGTGACCCAATTAAGAAATGCGCGGATGTTAAGGGAGCTAATTCATTTGGGTCGTCACTGGCGGGGCTCAAGAGTCTTGAATTGAGACATGCTTCAATTCGAATTAAAATTGTGCTAGGTTCCTCAAATGTAAAGTTTATTTTTGGAATTCATTTTCGCAAATGTGCTTTAAAGGATTAACTCCTGCCTCTTATAATCCACGCAAGTAGGGAGCGCCAGGCGGTATAACAAATATATACGATCCTTTTTTAGACATTCAGATGCACCCACAAAGTGTTTTACATTGTATGAATAAATACATGCTGGGCAACCCCGTCTTTCCACGAATCGAGCAAAGGCAGCGAGAAACGAAGGAGTGGAGAGATCTCTAGTAGGCTGCAAGTGAATTGCCTTGGTGGCAAAACATACGAAAATACATACATATCGTAAATAAACATGTTCGACCAGTAAAGGTCTTACAAAGTCAAGAGTGGTTCTCTCTGGAGGTAAATCATTTGAGTTTGGTTGTGTTTTTTAAAAAAGTCAAATTTTTACAGTGATGAATAGTCTTACTTTCAATTTAAATATCCAAAATTCAGTACGTAACCCACGTGTCATGAGTTGATTTCCCCCATGTAAGGTGATTTTATGTGTAAATTCTACAAGTAGTTGCGATAATTTCGATGAATATGGTAACAATATCGGTTGCGTTCTTTGTATGTTAAGGCTAGTGACTGTACATGTCGACCATTTGCTCTTTGAATCTATAAAGGGGTTTAGTGCCAATAGAGTAGTGCTAGGCGGAAATTTTATATTTCCTTCTAATAGCTTGTATTCGTTTGTACGTAATGTTTTTGTATAATCCGCAAACAGTTCAGAGAAAATTCTGAGTTGATTTTCATTCTAAACGCGCGTGATAGAGAAGAATAATATTTTAAAGGGTCAGTCTCATGCAGTGTGATATGTGTAGTTGTAATTGCTAAAATTTCACTTGTTTTAATTTCGAGAGTCGTATCATTGGGTTTTTGGAAGTTTTAGACAATTTGGACCCTGCTACTACCACCATGAATGTGCTTTTAAGTCCTGCAGTGAACATCCTCTGCTTACACTGCTGGATTGGATTCCGATTCGACGTGTTTCCATTTATCATTACCAACGTTGTGAATTATTTCCGAAACTCGAATTCCTACATATACTCCATATGCAGGGCGGGTTTTTTTCACCCAGGCTTAGAAAATTGTCGAGTCCGTCGGTTTTGTTACAGAAGCAGTTAGTTTCGTTAGAGTACAGCTCCACACAGCTCAAGACGTGACAGTGACATATTTTTAATAGGCACCACTCTGGTTTTGGCAGCCAAAAGAAATGTGCCAACCGTATTATCGACTCGGAGGAGGAGGCTCATAAGCACTTTCTGACGCGTCACAATTTCCGTGAAGTTCAATGTGTGCGCTGGGGGCAGTGGTGGGCAAAATTAAATTGAGAGCAAGTGTGTGCGAGCGTAACTGAGAATTCACCATTAAAAACGACTGACGTAAAGAGAAAGAAAGAGAACATGTGTTTACCCGTCGACCCTCAGTTACGGTAGCGTATATGGGTAAGCATGCCTGGCTGGGGGTTATAATTAATCCAACTTGGTATTAAGAGAAAAAATATACCAGCGGGAATTTCTTACAAAGTTTTGCCAGTTAATCAATGTTATGGGCTTAAGATTATAGTCCCAATCTATTTTATCTAACTATATCTGTTGCATTGTTATTTTTGTTACGATAATTATTGGTGATATGGTAGATAATACTTCTCTTTATAAATAATTGGTTATGTTTTCAATTGAAGGCAATGTGAATGAGAAACAATATCCTGAGATATAACATTTTATACCAAGGGTATTGGTGGAATCATTTTCAGATGAATCCAAGCAATTAAGTGGTAATAGTTGATCTGGTGGTAAATCCTTGATTATTTGTGGTTCATTAAATGTCCATTTTCTTAACTGAAGTCCTACTGATCCCATAGGAGTCTACCACTTCCTCAATCGAATGATCCCATAGCAGAAATTAGTTAATTTTTTTAGTCTACCGCTTCCTCAATCGAATGACCACCATCAATAACATCATCGACATATAAATTTTGAAGTATTATTTTAGTTTGTTTGCACTTTTATAATTGTACCAAGGCACTGCATCACTATTAATATAAAAAAAACACTATACTGCTCGAAGGACCATTTAATGTTTGGGGTTTTACCTCTTTTGCCTTGTAGTGGAAATTAAAAATAAGATAGTCAAAAATGAACTGATCTTTCCAAAAACAAAATGCAACACAGCCGGCAGAAATATCATTTTGTTTTTGTTTTGGCCAGCTGAATACTTGTTCCGTTGGCTTTGTATATGTGTGGGTTGCTTGAAATAAACGACAACCCACCGCCAACTATCACTTTATGCCGCCGTTGTACTTTTGATTTTCTGACGCCGCTCATGTTTATGCGAACGCCGTTCATGGCATTGCCATAAACATATTCTATTATATACTTTCATTTTATAGCACTGTGATAATTTAGAAAATAAAATTGTGTTCATTAATAGAATCGAATACAAAATATTAAAACTCAAAATTCAATCCTTTCATAGTTAACTTCATATATAAAAAAAATTATAAACTAATATTATAAAAATTAACCTGCATAGAAAAAAATATATAATCCTAACATAGACAATATAGTTTTTTGTTTTTTGAAATTCTTTTCATTTCCAAAAAAAAGAATCACATTTTCGAAACTCACCTCGCGTTGTGACCCAATAAGATGATATTTCTGTAAATATATGGAAATTTCGAAATACGATTTTGTTTATATAGAAGAAGAAAAAAGAGTAGTACAGTTACGATGAATTTTGAAGATTTCTTTTTACAGAATTTTGTTTCTTTAGTTGTCTGTTTTTACAATACTTTTTTTGTTAAGCTTGTTTTTTTGTTAGTTTGGTTTAGTATTAAATTAAAAAAAAAATTGCACAATTTTTTATTGTGTAAAAATAACATGCAAAATTATTATTGTTAATAAGAAGAAAAAAAAAAAACATTGAAAAATTAATTTATTTAATTTTATATTCAGAAAAAGAGGTTCTTTGCTTTACATTGCATTTTCTTGGAATATTTTAAATATTGAACGAAAGGCATTCGCCCAGTGTTTTAGACGTTCGATCGATACGAGGAACGAATATCGATTCGGACCATTACCTTGTGGCAGCCAAGGTTCGCACCCGTCCCAATGTAGCAGCAAATGTGCGATCTAATGTAATGCCATGTTCTGACGGGCATTCGAACAACGTAGTTCGCTCTCAGAATTACGTACATGAATTAACCCGTTCATACAACACTATTCTTAATTCATGTCATCAGAGTTTTTTATTTCAAACTTTTTGTTTCTAGTTTTACACCAAAATTGTAACATATTTGCGTGAATCATATATGGATCTAAATAGAAAAAATAATTCTCTTTCTCCTGACTATAGTATGAACCCATATCTATTTACTTTTAATTCATGTTTTCCATTTTTTCTGAAAGTATTGTTGTTTTGAGTATATTTTCATTTTTTCTCAATTCAAATGTCACATAAAAAAATTGGAGAATTTTTTGTTTGGGTTTCCCCACATTGGTTTCTCGTTTTGTACGCTAATTAGAACCAAAGGGAAAGAAATACATATTGGATTATGTAGATTACAAAATTTACTTCCTTCTGCATATATAAAAACTCAAAAATTTTTTACTTTTCATTCATCATTTTTAATTTTACTGAAAAAGTTTGAAAATTTTACAAATATTTTCATGCTGTCAAAATTAATTTATTTTCGATAAATTCTCTCAATTGTTAGGGATGGGACAAATTTCTTGGTTATTCGGAGAGTGATTCAAATTGAACAACGTACAAAAGTCGGTGTTCGCTCAGACAATTTTGTATGGGGAACTAAGTAATTACTTCATAATTAAGGGTCGAACAACGAATGAGAGAGCGAACGACGCCCGTCTGTACATGGCATAACACGGAAACTCGACGTCGAAAAGCTGCAAATACAACCGATAGCAGAAGCATACTCCGCTCAACTTACCCACTTACTAGACGAAACCACTCCTTATACCGATAATAATATAGAAGCAAACTACAGCAAAAGCAACACTTGGGTACCAAAAACCACAATAAAAAACCCATGGTACGATCTGAAGTGTCGTAATGCTACTGAGGCGAAAAACGCAGCGTATAGGGCAACACTGCAGACAGTAGCAACACGTAATGCGATGGAAAATTATCGGGGAAAAATCAGAGAGGAGAAACGTATTTTCAGAAGAAAGAAGAAGAAAAACGTGAGCGTGAGCAAATCGAGATGTACAGGAGTCAGAATGAAGTCCGGAAATTTTACCAACGAGTAAAGTATATATTGTATATCACCTAGCAAATATGAGGTCCGAGTAGCAATTAATCGGCTGAAGAACAATAAAGCAGCAGGTGCCGATGGATTACCAGCCGAACTATTCAAGACTGGTGCTCAAATGCTGGTCAGGAGCATGCACCAACTCATTTGTAAAATTTGGCTAGAGGAATACATATCCAGTAATTGGAACCCCAGCATCCTGTGTCCCGTGCACAAAAAAGGAGACAAGACGATATGTGTCAACTATAGATGAATTAGTCTCCTTCCCATCGCATATAAAGTGCTATTCAGATTGCTGTGTGAACGATTAAAGCCAATGATCAATGGCATCATTGGACCATACCAATGTCTGACAAATTCACCATTGACCAGATTTTGGAAAAAAACCTACGAAAAACACATCGACACATTCCACCTATTCGTCGAATACAAAGCCGCATTAGACAGACCTATCCGTTCAGAGGTGTTTAAAGCCATGTCTGCGTTTGGCATTCCAGCAAAATTAATACGGCTATGCAGGATAACTTTAACTGTGTGTACAATGTCAGCAGTTAAAGTAGGAAAGGACCTCTCGGAGCCATTCAATACCGAACGAGGTTTTATATTCGGTGACAGTTTGTCGTGTGATATGTTCAACATCCTGCTGGAAAAGGTCGTACGAGATGCAAATATCAACAGAAATGACACTCTGTACACCAAACAGAAGATGTTATTCGCCTACGCCGACAACATGGACATAATGGGTCGAACATTGCGAGCGCTAACAGCCACCTTTGAACGAATTGAGGAGTCTGCCAAAGTGGGTCTGGCGGTAAACGGCGAAAAGACCAAGCTGTGGACAAACTGTGGAACTTGAAAACTACAGTTTCGAGGTTTTGAACGATTTTATATACTTCGGTACCGCCATAAACAAAACTAATAACATCAGCATTAAAATCCGGAGGAGAATAGTGTTGGCCAACATATGTTATTATGGTTTGAGTAAGCAACTCAAAAGCAAGGCCATCTCTCGCTAGACAAAACTCGCACTCTACAAAACGCTGATATTACCCGTGCTGTTATATGGATCTGAAGCATGGGTACTTGCGCAAGCAAATGAGGCAGCTCTTGGAGTGCTTAAGAGAAAATTTTTTCGGAAGATATATGGGTCGGCTATACCATCTATTATCATCATCGACATAGTCAGGCGGATCGAGCTGCAGCGACTACATTGGCTAGGCCATCTTGTGAGAATCGATAAAGGTGCCCCAGCTCAAAAGGCATATAAAAGCGAGCCAAATGATGTTTCACGCAGAAGGGGAAGGACACGAATCCGAAGGAAAGTAGAAGACAACATATCGGAAAATGGTCTTTCAAATTGGATGAGATGCGCATAAGATCGACGCGCCAAGATATTTTTTCAAGCTGAACTTATGAAACATCCGCTCTATCATAAGCCAGCTAAGTAAGTAAGTAAATATTGAAAAGTTTCCCTAGTATTCTTTTATTTTACTTCCAAGAAATATACTATGCCATAAAAAATTAACTGTATAACATAAAGTTTTGAAACGAAATGATGGTTCTGCCTTCAAAATATTCAAGTTTGCTGGATATCTTGAATTCCCCTAGAAGTTGAAAAATATATTTTTTTACTTTTGCTGGTATAAAGTGTTGAACTCCTATCCATCCGGACCTTTCTCAGCATAGCAAACAGCTATAATTTTACGGAAATTATTTTAAATATCATATGGTACAAATAATAAAATTGGAATAGATAAAAGTAATTACAAATATTTTTGTTTGTTTATAACCTTTGTTAGTATTTATAAAAACATAATTACCTTATATAATTAATAAATATTTAATTAACCTCAAATTTGTTTTATTAATTTTTCATGAAAAGAATATATTTTAAAAATTAATTAATAAAATATTACAAATCTGTCAATGAGATTGTTCATATTTTTTTCATAAAAATATTTCTTTTAACAACAAATAATTTACTAATTTTTTATTAAACAACATGCTTTTTTTGTATTGGTGTACCACTTGAAGCGTTTAGTGCTCAAAAATCAAAAAATAAAATATAGAAACAACGTCGATAAATAATCAAATCAATTTTAAAATACGACTTAAATGTTTATTATATATACATAATACAAACAAAGTATATACTGGTCATTAGTTTCCTTTAAAAATGCAATAACTAAATTTTTTTGGAAGGGAAACTAAATTTTGTTTTTCAAAGCAGCCGCCATCAAAATAATGTGAGTTTTGTGTGGGTGAGTGAGGATAGAGATAGGAGTTCAGCAAAATATACATCTAACGATCTATGAAAAATAAACTCAGAAGGTACGTTTAGTTATCTTACTTTGCTGGTTACCAAGTAATCAATGCAAATAACAGCAACAACACCAACAACTATAGGAATATCAATTAATCAATCAGAGCGTTTAAAGTGAAATATTTGTTTTTGGTTTTTTTACAACATCGATTACAACAGCCAAGTTAATAATATTCAAATTTAACAGTTTTTTTTTAATCCATCAATAACAGTTTTTTTCGATTTAAAACATCAGTGAGGATTGGGTATTTAACAACAACAGCAGAGAGCACAGCATTTGAAAGAGCGCTAGAAATCAATAAAGGAAGATAGAGAGAGAGGCGGCAAGTTTGTTTCCTTTTTCTCTAAACTCTAGAATTTACAACAACAAGGGAAACGAAACTCTGTGAAATATTGAATATTTCACATTTCTAGAAAAAAATTACAAAATTATGAACGCTATCAAATCAGAATCTTGAAGAAGAGAAGTTATGACTGTTATCGCAGAAATATATAGAAAGTTTTGAGAAGATTGAAGAAAGTTTCAATTGTGAAATTAACTCAAGTGAAACACAAACAAAAAAATTGGAAATAGAATTTTGAAATTAACAAAAAATTCAATCAGTTGTTGTTCAGTAAAAAATTTAAATTATTTGTTTGTTACTGGTTGGTGTGTTATGTGTAAATTCCCAAAAAAATCGACAATATCAGCTGAGAAAATACTCTTTGAATATATACCTCCAAAATTCCCCGAAATGTGGATTTTGTAAAATTCCACTTCTAAGACTTTGATATTCCCCTCAAAAATATTCTTTAACAATCCACTTCTAAGATTTCGGTATTCCTCTCAAAATTATTATTTAAAAATCCACGCCCAAACCTCTAATATTTTTTTGGGAAAATATTATTTAAAAATCCACACCAGAGCCTTTGGTATTCCTCTTGAAAATGTTCTTTAAAAATCAACGCCTGAACCTCCGATATCTTTATGGAAAATATTCTTTATAAATCCAAGCTTGAGCCTTCGATATTTTTATGGAAAATATTCTTTAAAAATCCACGCCTCGTAATTTACTTACTTTACTTAGCTGGCTTGTGACAGAACTTTCGTTCCATAAGCCGAGCTTAAAAATATTTCCAGGCGCGTCGGTCTTTTCGCAGTTTTTCCAATTTAAAAGACCATATTCGGCAATGTTGTCTTCCACTTCCACTGTTGGCCATCACTATCCTTCTCCGAATTTCAAACCTGATGTCATTCGTTTTGTTTATGGCGGTACCAAGCTATATAAAATCTTTGACTTCCTCGAAGCTGTAGTTCTCAAGTTCCACAGTTGGTCCGAGTCTACTGGACGTCTTGCGCGTTGATGCCATCAGCTTGGCCTTCTCGCCGTTTACTGCCAGACCCACTTTGGCAGACTCCTTCTCAATTTGTTCAAAGTTGTCTGTTACCGATGTCATCGGCGTAGGCGAGTAACATGTGTTGTTTGGTGTACAGAGTGTCATTTCTTTTCACCTTTGCATCCCGTATGACCTTTTCCAGCCGGATGTTAAAAAGGTAACACGACAAACTGTCACCTTGTCTGAATCCTCGTTCGGTACTAAAGGGCTCCGAGAGGTCCCTTCCGACTTGAACTGCTGATCTTGTGTCAGTTAAAGTTATCCTGCATAGCCGTATTAATTTTGCAGGAACGCCAAACGCAGACATGGCTTTATACACCTCTGAACGGATATGGCTGTCGAATGTGGCTTTATAGTCGATTATGTGGTATACATTATATACCGTCATCTATCAACTTCACTGCTACTATTTGATACCAGATGTTTTTTTTTAAAATGCTCCTCCCAGATCCTCAGCACGCTGTCTGTATCTGTCACCAGGTTTCCTTCTTCATCACTACAGGAGGATGTGCCTTCACCAAAGCCTTCGGTTTGGTGTTTTATCCGTTGGTAGATATTTCGGACTTCATTCTGACTCCTGTACATCTCGATTTGCTCACGCTCAGGTTTTTCTTGTTCTTTCATCTTTTTTCTGAAAATACGTTTCTCCTCTCTCATTTTTTCCCGATAGTTCTCCATCGCACTATGTGTTCCTACTGTCCGCAGGGTTGCCCTATACGCTGCGTTTTTCATATCAGTAGCATTACGACACTCCTGATCGTGCCATGGGTTTCTTGGTGGTGGTTTTTGGTAACCAATTGTTCCTTTTGCTGCAGTTTGTAGGGCTTAGGCAATTCTTTGCCATTGTGCTTCTATATTATTATCGGGACAAGAAGTGCTTTCGTCAAGCAGGTGGGTAAGTTGAGCGGAGTAGCCCTCTGCCACCTGTTGTGTTTGCAGCTTTTCGACGTCGAGTTTCCATGTTGTGTTAGATCGCACTTTGGTGCTACATTAAGATGGGTGCGAACCTTGGCTGCCACAAGGTAATAGTCCGAATCGATATTCGCTCCTCGTATTGATCGAACGTCTAAAATACTGGAGAATGCTTTCCGTCTATCATAACGTGGTCAATTTGACTTCAGGTTGCTTGATCAGGAGAAATCCAGGTGACCTTGTGTATATCGAGATGCTCGAATTTGGTGCTGCTAACTACCATGTTTTTTGCTGCCGCGAAGTCAATCAACCTCATGATGTTGTCAAATGTTTCTTCATTGAGGCTGAATTTTCCGACGGTGGGGCCAAAGATATTTTCCCTTCCGATTTTGGCATTAAAATCTCCTAGCAGAATTTTGATGTCATAGCCAGGGCAACGATCATATGCTGTTTCTAGGCGCTCGTAAAATATGTCTTTGGTCTGTTCATCTTTATCTTCGGTCGCAGCATGGGCGCAAATGAGACTGATGTAGAAGAACTTCGCTTTTATACGGATTATAGCAATTCGCTCATCTACTGAAGTGAATCTAGAGACGAGGGCTTTTATTCTCCTTTTAACCATAAATCCGCAGCCAAATTCATGTCTCGTTTCATGGCAGCTATAATACAGGGCGTAATCATCTGATTTACTTAGGTCAGTCCCTTTCCATCGTATTTCCTGTAAGGCAATAACATCGGCTTTGTACTTCTTGAATACATCCGCCAAAGCGAACACAGCTCCTGTTCTGTACAACGTGCGCATATTCCAAGTGCAGATTCGCAGATCGTGGTCCTTTATACGTTGGCGGGGGTCGTCAACATTAGGGGGGTTTGGTTTTCTTTTTCTTTGCTTTTTCATAGTAGGTTGGGTTTTCCGAGAGTGGGCAACTAAGCCGACGCCTCAACCCATTTTTTATCGTCGGGTGATGAAAATATCTCCCCAGGTGGCACCGCGAGGTGAAAAAGAGGAGATGAAAGAGGACCAAGATAAACCTGGACTTCGCCATGTTAAAGCCAATCAGAGCCGTTGCTTGGTATCTATCACCCCCTACGCCACCCCACGCCTAGTAAAAGACCTTGAAAAAATATTACTAAAAAATCCACGCCTATTTATGGACCATAAAAACATATGTTTTTAAAAATCCACGCCTATTTATGGACCTCAGAAAAATTTGTTTTTAAAAATCCAACCCTAGTTATAGACTTTAAATTTCTTTTTTTAAATCCAAGCCTAGTTATAGACTTTGAAAAAAAATATTTTTTTTAGATCCAAAATTTTCTGTAAAAAATCCTCGCCTTGTAATAGTGCTTGAAAAAATATTCTTTACAGACCTTAAAAATGTTTTTTAAATCAATGCCTATTTGGAGAACTTGAAAAAAAAAATATATTTTTTTTTTAAATGCACGCCTATGGAGTTCCGAGACGTCTTTAAAATATATTTTTTTAAATGCACGCCTAGTTATAGACCTTAAAAATATTTCTTTTTAAATTCACGCCTTGTAATGCTCCACTCCTACTTATAGACCTTGAATCCATACCTAAATCTCTGATATTTCAGGATAAAATATTTTAATATCATGATCGTAAATATTGGGATTAAGTCGATTTTTTCAAGAATTTACACACACACACACGTACAAACACATCTACATTTAATCTTGTGATGTATAAGCAGCAGCTGCAACAATATTCCATTAAGGATTTGCAAAACTAGTTCAACATTAACAGTTATAAATGTATATATATATATATATGTATATGAAAACTAAGAGCATTTTCATATAGTTGTTTGTGTGTGAATGTGTCATTGTGTGAACACATACACTATACACTATTTTGTTAGAACAAAAATATTGGGAGGACTCCTACCGAATGGGTGTAGTGAATTTCGGCTAACTCACAACAACATTGATAACGCAGTATAGCACGACCACTTTTTCTGAAAGGTATTTTTGAAAAAATAAAATAAAATGGAAAAAGAAAATTTATTTTTTAATTTGCTTTTTTTTTTGTTTTCGAAAATTCCAAATAATGTCATTCAAATATTTAAATAATTAAAAAAAATACAATATATATTTTTTATGTATATAGAAAATGTTACAGAAAAAAGAAACAAAATTTTATATTATATATGGTAGGTATATAAAATATTTATATAAAAATATTAAAAAAATGACAAAGTTAAATATTTTTTAAATAAAATTTACTTTATTTAGCAATTTATTTACTTTTGTTTTTAGCAATTATTACGTTTACGTTTCAAACAAATTAAAAGACTGAGGGGAAGTGTTAATAATAATACAAGTGATGAAAATTAAATACACACACACACACTTGCCTACAAACTTGAACTCACCTTAATAATCGTGTTATATAATCTGGCCAATTTTCCGGAAACATTACCAAAAAGAAACCCACTGCAATTAATATAACACCAGCCAATTTCATGCCGGCAAATGTGGCACCATATAGGACAACATCCAATGCTGCAAAACAGAAGCAACAGTAATAAGGGAACAGCAATAACAACAACAAGGACAATAATAGCAACAACAATAAATTAATTGCTGTGCAAATTAATTCAATAATCAACACTTTGTCTCTCCATCCTCCACCACCACCATTCATTCATCTTCTTCTTGTTCTCTAAAGGATATCGAATCGTATCGCCCGCACTCCCCAGAGACAAATCGAATAAACGATGGCAATTAGATGATGTAGAAGAAGAAGAGCAAAGAGTTCTCTCTAATTACCTCCGGACACAGGAACAGCAGTAATTAAACCTAATGTAACAAACATATTGTAGGTAACAGCCGAGCTAAATTGCATTAGAATGTGAAAGACTATAAAAAGAGGGAGGAGGAAGAAGAGGAAGAAAAATTAAATTATTATTTGTAAATATAAATATAGAAAGGAGTAAATTGGAAGGATGTTTAATAATTGTGAAGGTTGTTTCCTATATATTGGGTCCAGGGGTAAAAAATTGTCATTGTCAAAAAAATATATTAGGTTAGGGAAAAATAAAGACATTATTTTTTCGGCAGATTTCTCGTGAAGTATCGATCAAACAATTTCAGCTGTATGCTCGTTGGAAGGGTGACATTTCGCAGTAAAATAAATTTTTTGCTGTTTTTTGATTGGTGTATTCCATTGTGAATTACATGGCGTTCATAATGGAAGTGAACAAAGAGAAAATTCGGTACATTTTAAAGTTTTTCTTTGACAAAGGCGAAAATGCAACCCAAGCGGCAAAAATTGATACGTCAACAATTTCCAACAGATGGATTTTCTTCCTCTGTTGTTATGATATCATAACAACAGAGCAAAGAATATTAAATATTTTAAGCGCTATATCTCAAGCTTATAAAATAAAAACATATATTTCGAGTGCAGATTTCTGATTTTATTTCAATTTTTTTATACACATTATCGCGTATTGGCGTTCATATTCTTAACATGCCTCTGTTATGCCTGATTCCCCCTGGATATGTTTTCATAAACTATTTTGTCAAAATGCATTTTGTCGAGTCTTTACGGTTTCTATGTCTTTGTTTATGGTTCCGATACTGTAACAGCCAATTATGTGAAATTTTGGTTTCGTAGATTCCGTTCAGGAATTTTTGATGTTAAAGATGTACCTAGCACAGGTAGACCGGTCATCGAAAATGTCGATAAGATCGGAGAAATGGTCGAAGTTGATCGGCATGTTAGCAGATGGAACATCGTCCAGGAGCTAAAAATCGCCCAAAACTGTTTTACATCATTTACACAAAAAAAGGATTTATTTTTCCTTTGCTATTATTTTTTGTCTTGCTATTATATATCCACATATAAGAGTAGCGACCCATTGTCAGTATTTTCAAGTTAAAAACAAATTAAAGCGGAAAATTTTATATATACGTCCATGTTCTATTATAGGCCCCACATCAGGGATGCAAAAGTTGGTACAATTGTACTAATTTTAGCACTATTTGGAAGTCAATAATACAATAGCACCCCAATGATATATTTAGCACTATTTCTAAATTGTATCAAATTTTTCTCACTTAAGGGAACCCCCCCATTCTCTATTTTAATTTTTCAAGATTTTCAATGGGCTGGTAAATCAATACCAATGCTTTTTAAGGTTTGTAACTTTGCACATATATAATGGAAGATTTAAAGAGAAGAAAAATAATTTACAAACAAGCTTTGTTATTGTTTTTTTTTTTTTTTTTTGTTTTTTGTAATTAAAGAAAAGTCCTTATGTTTGATGGCGGGCATGATAACTCCTCACTGGAAAATCGGAATCCGAAAATTCCAACGGTGTTAGAAAGAGTACATGTCTGACTCTCGGTTGAACTAGGATTATTGACTTCGCTCTAAAATTAACAAAATGGCGGACCTTTGAAATAATATTTTTGGAAAATTGCTGATTTTTTACCAAAAACCAAGTTAAAAAATAAGGAAGATCTTCACCGATGTGCTTTATCCTAGTTCATTATTAGTGTTTGAGTTATCGTGCCCGCCATTCGCAAAAGAGAAAAACGCGTTTAAAGTTTGAGAAGCCCTTTAGCCATCACTTGACGCTGACACAATATCTTCAAGAGCAGGGTTTAAAATGCAGCATCAAAAAATATTAGCATTAGTCTTACAGAGCTACTGCTAAAAAATATTGACATTATGGCTAAATCAGCAAACGGCTAGCTTTTTTAGTTCGTAGCATCCGTGCTAAGCACGTATTGCACATGCGAGCTTTTTTGTTATGACTAATCGGCCGTACGACTACATATTCATATTTCGCTGCCGACGAATAATCAGCTGAGGGTTGTTTTTATGTTTGTGTGTTGCTAACGCAGAAATTAGAAAAAAGGCATTTCATTTTGTGCGTTTTTATTTAATTTAAACTTGTTAAATCATAATCAAAAACTGTCAACAATAGTACTAAAAACTAAATAGTATATTAAATTAAACTCGTTAGCAAGTATTACTAATTGTCTTTCTACGAAAAAATTAAATTATCATAATCGCGATTTTTAATTCTCTCATATAATTTATAAAATTTCAATGGGCAACACTGAACTCGAAAAATGCTCGGGTTTTGTTTGCTAAAAATCTTGCTAACCAGCCACAGTCGAGGTGCTTAGTCTTCATTGTAAGCTTTGGTTGTTAGTCGCGTTGACAATTATGTTGTAGTTGCTCATTGCTATTTTGTAGCTGCTGACAAAATCAAGAAGCTTTAGTTATGCTTGCTAAAATTATTCGTAATTTATTGCTATTTGCTGCAGTTGTGCTTGGCTGTGCTGCATATTTTGAGGATGAATTTAGTTAGCAGTGCGGCAATTTTCTGTGTTTTTGCTATTTTGGCGTTAGCATTTTAAACCCTGTTCAAGAGTTCTTGAGATTTTCACTTGAAATTTTGTAGGGACACTCTTGAATTAGTGTAGATTCGAATAGATTCTAAATGATTTCGAAGCTTATTCCCAAAAGTTAAGACTCCATTCTATTATTTCAGAATTTTTAAACCCTTTTTATATCCTCCACCATAGTGTGGAGGGTATATTAATTTTGTCATTCCATTTGTAACTCATCGAAATTTTCAATAAGTATTGATCAGGGTAAAATTCTATGACGATCTAGCCATGTCCGTCCGTCTGTTGTAATCACGTTATTTTCTGAGATAGGTCGTCAAAATTTTGCAGGCAGGTCAAGTTCGAAGATGGGCTATATCGGTCCACGTTTAGGCATAGCCCCCATATAAGGGTACAACCCAATTTTCGATATTTTGGGATTCTTGAGAGCACTATTCAACCAAATTCGCTGAAATTTGGAACACTGTGTTCTTTTTGGGTACCAAAAAAATTACAAATATCGGTCCAAATATCGGGTAGCCCCCATATAAAGGCATCCCCAATTTCGGTATTTTGGGGTTTTTGAGCGCGTTTTTCAACCGAATTCGCTGAAATTTGGTACGTTGGGTTCTTTTTTGGGTAAATGTCCTCACTACAAATTATAAATATCGGTCCACTTTTTTAGTAGCCCCCATATAACCCAAATTCGAAATTTGAAATTTGGTTTTTTGTAGTCGCATAACAAACAAACCTCCCTCCCAAAAATTATTAATATTCGTCCCCTATTAGGGGTAGTCCCCATATAACCCCCTTTTTATATTAAAATAGTTATCTGATTTGTTCCGCGTTTTGGGTCGGGTTCTGAGACATTGTTGTAAATTGAAATTTGAAATTTGTATTTCATGTATGTCGGCAGGATTCAGGCATCTTCTCCATATAATGATAATTCCTGAAGGGAAGAATTGAGATACATAACTAAAAAATTGGGTTCCAAATGTATATATATATCGGTCATTAATTAGGCATAGCCCTCATATATGTATAACCCCAAATATTCGCTAATTCCTACACTATGTAATCTAAATTGCAGTAATTTGAGGATTGTATATTCCATGCGTTATTAGTATAAGTCCACGCTTTTGGGTTTTCATAACAAATTGCTGAAATTTGTATTTGGTGTACACAATTGTTTACATAAACCGCTTTTTAGAATTATCGGTATAGGTTCACTTTTTGGTATGTTCCCTATATTTTCATTTCAAGTATCTGTCAGTATACCTATGGAGGTGTTTTTAAGTTTTCATTTTATATATGTGTATATAAAAATGAATTCTTAATGTGTTTTTTTATTAATTGTTAATAACAATAAAAATTTTATTAAAAATATATAAAAAGTACAATCGGACTGAAAAAAGTACACTTTTTATTGAACGCCAGTACAATTTGAATAATTTCATTTCGCATCCCTGCCCACATAAAGATTCCACCCAGTTTTCGGATTTTTATTAGATTTGTTTAGCAATGGGACAATTCCCATCGAATTTCCGATGAGAATTTCCCGTAGTTTTTAAGGTTTTAGCTTAATTTCCCACAGATACTACTGTAATTTAGGTTCCTTGAGAGCGAAAATAACAATTTCTAGACAATTTTCGACGTCAATCCATGTTTTGACATAACCCCAACATAAAGGTCCCACCCGATTTTCGGTATTCTTAAATTTGTAACCGAATTTCCTCATCGAAGTGACTAGAATTCGGCATATCGGATTCCTGGTGAATAGAAAACTCCCCTCCAGAAATTATCAATTTAGGTTAAAGCTTGAAAATAGCTCATACAAATGTCCTGCTTATTTTTTGATATGTTCCCAACCCACTTCTCCAAACTGAGCGTCTGTTATTGAGAAAATTACTTTTTTTCAGAACATGAACAAAAACTACTTCTACTTTTTTAACTGTTATTTCGGGCATGGTTTTTTCTTGTTTCTGTGATTTAGCCATTTAAATTACTCTTTAACTTTCAGACCAAAAATTTTTTGTTGTACGCCTTGCCGTAAACCCGAATGTATTGATTTCTCGTGGTTCTCAGGAATTAGGACTGTCTTACTGCACATAACTGAAACTAGCCGACCATTCACAGCGTCGTAGATATGTGGAATGGGCGCTCGAACAACGGTCGACGGCAATTTTTTAATAAAAATTTATTTAGGTAAACCTATAGGTCCTGTCTTTGGACTTAATCTAAATTTGGTAAACATTTTATATTGGATTAACAAATTTTTAAAAATTTGACACTTTGTTGGCCGACGGTTTCTATTTTCAGACCTGATCTGTGCATGTTAAATAATATTAAGATGTGTAAAGTTTGGATTGTATTTGAGTATTCCGTTGAGCTACTAGGATCGGAACCATCTCCCACCTATATACAGGTAAACTGTATGTGGGTAAAATATTACCATTTTGTGGGTGAGGTACCAGAAAGAGTGGACCAATTTTCTCCATTTTCGAACTTTATTTGAGTTTGAAAGAAATATTACGATGTGCACAGTTTAGAAGAAATATTACAATTCAGTCATTTGTCGGGCATTTGTAAGTCGACTCCAAAAAATGCCTTTAAGTTCGACCGGACCGAAGTTTTTGTACCCTCCACGATATGTTTTCACCTTTCAAAAGTTATAATGGTGTGAAGTTTTTTATTCAACAGGAATCTGCCAATGCCAAATTTAAGCACATCGCACTATGGGACAGAGATCCCATTTTATTGCCATAATTAGAACAGTGGGTTTATGAAATAAATACATATCACATATAAGGGTTTCAAGGATGCTGATTACGATGCAGGAAAAACGTAAACATTTTATAGGGTGGATCGAAAACGGCGGTCAATTTTTATACCCTTCACCAAACTGTGGTACAGGGTAAAATAAACGAGGTTCCTTTTGAGAACATGAATAGAATCACTTTTTAAGTCGATTTATCTATGTCCGCCCATCTATCTGTCTGTACATGTTAAACTGTAAACAAAGTACAGGTCGCATTTTCGATTCGAATTAAAATGAATTTGACACAGCTCATTTATTTGGCTCAAGGACGAGCCCTATTGAAATTGGGAAAAATCGGTGCACCAAAGTCCCTATATATCATTTGATTTGCACGAAATTTGGCATAGAGTACAGAATTGAGTCTAGAATGATGAGTGGTGAGTTTCGTGAAAATCGATTCAGATTTCGATATAGCTCCCATATGTATATTCGTCCGATTTTAGGTAAATAGTGCACCAAAGTCCCTGCGATTTGAACGAAATTTGACATAGTGTACTGAATTGAGTCTAGAACGATGTGTGGTAAGCTCCGGAAAAATCGGTTCAGATTTCGATATAGCTCCCATATATATTTTCGTCCGATCTTATGTAAATGGTGCACCAAAGTTCCTATATATCCTTCGATTTACACGAAATTTGGCATAGCGTACTGAATTGAGTCTAGAACGATGTGTGGTAAGCTCCGGAAAAATCGGTTCAGATTTCGATATAACTCCCATATATATTTTCGTCCGATCTTATGTAAATGGTGCACTAAAGTCCCTATATACCTTTCGATTTGCACGAATTTTGGTATAGCGTACTGAACTGCGTCTAAAATTGGTGCACCAAAGTCCCTATATATCTTTCGAGTTGCACGAATTTTGGTATAGCGTACTGAATTAAGTGTAGAATGATGAGTGCTAAGTTTCGTAAAATCGGTTCTGATTTACATACACCTCCTATATATATTTTCGTCCGATATTAAGTAAATGGTGCAATAAAGATCCATAGCTAGGCCGATTGACGCAACGTACTGAAGTTAATATAAATTAATCACTGGCAATTTTCCTTGAAATCGGTTCAGATATAGATATATCATAGGTTCCATATATAATTTCGACCTTAACTGTAAACAAATTAATCAATGGATATCTGATTGAGATTAGATTTTAAACCGTACCAAATAGCGTGTGTCAAGTTTGCTTACAAAATTTAGCATAGGTTGCAAAGTGGCATGTGTAGGGATTTATGTTAGTCGGTTTAGATATAGATAAAGATCACATATTTAAGTGTGTTCAATTTCATGTGAATGTTCCTTCAAAATGGTGAAGTCTGTTAGGATACATATGTAGACTATATACCCAAAGTGGTGAAGGGTATCGCCAGATTTCAAATATATAATGTCTACCTAAAATGGATTTTTTTGCGAAAAAAATGATTCCTGACCCGTAGTGCTTCGTTTGGAATATGCGGTTAAACTTTTCAAAAATGGAAAATGGGTAGGAGCTTTATATGGGGGCTATGTTAAAACATTTACATAACCTTAACATTTTCTGCCAAATTGTAGTCCCTTCAAAAAAATTAATACCAAACATCCTAGGGCTTTGAGATGTACGTGTGGCGTTTAAAATATCTATTTTAAGTATTCAGGGTTCAATATATAGAGCTTTTTTGACAAAATGGATCGGTTAACTATCTCACAACGCATACAAATTATCAGCATTACTACACATATTGTGATTATTGTCCCACAATGGGTATATTAATAACCAAAATTGTCCTATTTGGGGTTCTGAGAATCATAAGTAGTTCAAGAGAGGCTATTACATCCAGTAAAAGTCCCTGTTTGGTGCACTCTTGGCCAAATAATACCTAATTTGAGGAATGATGCTCAAAAAGCATCATGAAAGGACGACCTTCAGTTTGTCATCAAAATTTATCTCATTCGAACATGTATTTTGTGTAACCCATTTTAAATTTTTTGGTTTCAGGTGTACCAGTGAATGGAAATCACATTCTTCAAATAAATGTATGAACAACAGCTTCCTTTAATATTTTATGTTTCCCTTATTAAAAAATTTCTAAAAGTTTAGTAGAGTATTTATATTAAAATCGTATTTATGTCAATTTAAAAATATATTAAAATCAAATCTACTTTTTATCACTCTTACATACCACGACACTCTTTTTATATCGGATTAAAACCAAAATGAAAAACAATTTCAATTTAATGTAAATTTACTTAGCCGATAACTGAAGTAACGTTCTGGCTACCCGCTTATGTCAACTTTGTAGGCCGATTGTTTGCGTCAATTTAAAAACAACAAATTGTCAAATCGAACATTTATCCACTCAGAACAGAAACAACCAAACGTCCATACATCCTTCCTTTACCTCACCCCAATTCATCCACTTACCCAACAACAATATACTGGCAATCAATAAAATAATCCAAGGCATACGATCTGATGGCATTATTTCCGTTCCCGTCAAATATAATGCCACACATATTGGCCACATGAGTAGAGCGTTGAGAAAGCCCAGCGTTGTAAAGGCGAACGCAATTTGTCCCACCGGCGGATCGCCCATCACTTTGCGAAACATGACCTTGATTAAATATTAAACAAAAAAAAAAAAAAAAAAGACGAATGGGAAAAACCAAAATGAAAAACAATTTCAATTTAATGTAAATTTACTTAGCCGATAACTGAAGTAACGTTCTGGCTACCCGCTTATGTCAACTTTGTAGGCCGATTGTTTGCGTCAATTTAAAAACAACAAATTGTCAAATCGAACATTTATCCACTCAGAACAGAAACAACCAAACGTCCATACATCCTTCCTTTACCTCACCCCAATTCATCCACTTACCCAACAACAATATACTGGCAATCAATAAAATAATCCAAGGCATACGATCTGATGGCATTATTTCCGTTCCCGTCAAATATAATGCCACACATATTGGCCACATGAGTAGAGCGTTGAGAAAGCCCAGCGTTGTAAAGGCGAACGCAATTTGTCCCACCGGCGGATCGCCCATCACTTTGCGAAACATGACCTTGATTAAATATTAAACAAAAAAAAAAAAAAAAAAGACGAATGGGAAAAAACACAATGGAAAAAGAGAAAAACAACAATAATTACAACGTTACAAAGAATCAAAAAATAAAAAAAACAACAACAAAAAAGTAGCAACAACAAGTTAAAACATTTAACAACTAGTCTGGCAGCAGCAGCAGTACAGCACACCTAGTAGTCATCAGCAATCGATGGCTTAGTGAACACACATATAACCACCGGTTGACTGGACTGGACTGCATGACTGACTGGTTGGCTAGTTGCCTGACTGATTGATTGTCATATATGACGGGATACCACAGATGTTAAGAACGTCAACATACTCGAAAGACGGCGTAACAAGCGGCTGCCAATGTGGCCAATACCACCCCACTCAGTGTCGGACTTTCCGTAATGCCATCCATGTACGCCAGCAATGCAATACCCGTATCACACAGAATAACAGCAACAATCTGTTGGCAAAAAAGGGAACAACAAAAACAAGAATTACAAAATAGAGGGGGGCAACAAAATAATGTTTATCATTAATACAATTATACACTATTTAGTTTATTTTTGTGTTGTCGATGTCGCTGCTGTCGATGTTGCAGCAAATGTTACATTTTCATTTAATAACAAGATAAGTCGCCAGACCAATAATTGTTGGAATTGCTGTAACACACATTCAGACACAGAAACAGTCAGACACTTACCCGTACGCCCACAAACTGCTCGTGCAATATCACCCAGGACAGCAGGTAAACGCATGCCACATTGGTGGCAAACAAGGCCATAGCATCGGTGGCAAATAAGACACGCAGAGATAACGTATAAAGGTAAGTGGTTAATAGCCATAGTATACAAAATGATAGGCAGCGATTAAGAAAACGTCCTGCAATGGAAAACATTTTTATTTTGTAATTTATAAAACATATAGCTTACGACATAAAAAATCTATAATTAAATAAAGTGTTAAAGACGGTGAGATCCATACATGTTATTTCTTGGTATTGACAAAAGTACACCCTGGCGAATAAATAATATTACTAATACGCATTTTAACTAATTCTAAGGAGTTTTCTCCCACGAGAAAAGTTATTTTCAGTCTCAGCTCCCCCTATTTCTAACGAAGTGATACCATAAATAAGTAAAAAAGTGTCAGTCGGTGTTTCCGACATATATATCCCCCAGCCTATGGTTTGCGGAGGTCTTCAGAATTACACACAGATTCGCTTTAATGTTGATAAAATTTTATAAAATATTGACCATTTGTGACGGAGGTGCCGGAATGAGTTTGGTTCAAATCAGACATTCCATTCGCCTGCTATTGGATTTACTAATATTGAAAATTTTGACCATTTGTGGGTCTCATCTACGGAATTAATCTAGACTTCGTAGAGATAATGCGTTGTGCAAAGTTTGGTTCACATCCGAAATTTGATTCGTCTGATATTGGATTTATAAATATTGACATTTTTGGCCTTTTGGGAGGAGGTACTAGAAGGAGTGGACCAATGGGTCGTTAATAGTCCGTTTGCATGTTATTATACCCTACACAACTATGTTGTCAGGGTATTATAGCTTTGTGCAGCCCCAGGAGTTTGTAACGCCGCGAAATATTGGTCCCAGACCCACCTTTAAGTATACCGATCGTCATATCTCGACTAGCTGAGTCGATCTAGACATGTGTGTCCGTCCGTCCGTCTGTCTATTATATTTTGTAAACACGATACAGGCCACAGTTATGGTCCAATATTCACGAAATTTTGCATGTAAGATGGGTTCTGGCCAATGAAGACCACTATTGTTCGGTCGGTCAATATTTAGCGGTTCAAATGGACCCTGACTTTTGTGTGAAAAATTACAAAATTTATATTCAGGGGTATATATATTCGGCGTATATATTTACCCCTGAAGAACAAAGACCCAAGAAGTTGATATCATATCCAAGAGGAGTGGTTGACATTTAAATTGATACCATTTATATGGTCGTATGTACTCAGATGTGGGAGTTACACTTAAATATTTACAGGTGCTTACGTACTGAGATATTATTTAGTAAACCACTACCACACTGGAAGGCGGAAATATTGCGCTGATGACTTTTAAATATTCCATGAGGTTTATGATCAAGGACAACGCCTATAATTTTCGATGATGATCAGATAATAATTTTAGGATGAAGTGGACTGAAAACTTATTTTTGTATTTTTTTTTTTTTTATTTTGGAGTCGATTTATAGGCCGCCATTGAAAGTCGAACATCACAACACAACCCACGGTGAAGGGGATCTGGACAAATAATTATAGGAGGGCGCAAATATAGCAAAATATTGCCCAAGCTCAGAATATAGTACCACCGAAAGTTAGATTTTCATGGAAGTTGTGTAGGGTATCATATGGTCGGCCCCGTCCGACTATACTGCTCCGCTCACTGGTTTTTGTTTTTGATTTCATTCCAAAAAACAGAGTTTTTGACTGAAATATCTGTACATTTCACATGAATAGTTTGATTTTCCAACGATAAAAAAGGGGCAGTACATATGTAAACAAGTCATTAAGATTGACCGGGCCAAATTTTAATTTCGCAAATGAGGTCGGGAACTTCATATGATGACTATGACATTCTAAATTGTCTACAATATACTGTTTATTTGGGAAAATGAATTTCCAAATTACAGATACTGAGTTTGGAAATTAGACTATCAACATTAAAGTACCGATAATACCGGCGAATGAAAATAGGGCTGTGCTTTTATATGGGAGCTATGTGCTGACCTGTATGTGTGTATGACAGTCTCCAATAACTCACAATGCAAAATTACACTTACTTTGCTGGGAAATGTGGTTAAAGCCTTCAAAATATGCCAAGATGTGGACCAATATTTATATTTTCAATGGGAAGATTTTACACCCTATAAGAATCCTTAATATCAAATCATATACAATTCGTATGAAAAAGTGTGCAAAGTCCGAGCGAATGATGGGGGTACCGATGATGGGAAACGAGATAGACCCATAGTTCCTTTTGAGAATACGCATAGAATCACTTTCTGAGTCGATTTATGCATGTTCGTCCGTCTGTCCGTCTGTTGGTTGTAAAATTGTAAACAATGTACAGGTCGCATTTATAATCCGATTTGGATGAAATTTGGTACAGCTCATTTGTTTGGCCCAAGGACGAACCCTATTGAAAAAATCGGTCCAGATTTAGATATAGCTCCTATATATTTTTTCGCCCGATTTAAGGTAAATGGTGCACCAGAGTCCCTATATATCTTTCGATTTGCACGAAAATTGGCATAACGTACTGAATTGAGCCTAGAGTGATGTCTGCCGAGTTTCGAGAAAATCGGTCCAGATTTAGATATAGTTCCCATATATATTTTCGCCGATTTCATGTAAATGGTGCACCAGAGTCCCTATATATCTTTCGATTTGCACGATAACGTACTGAATTGAGCCTAGAGTGATGTCTGCCAAGTTTCGAGAAAATCGGTCCAGAATTAGTTATAGCTTCCATATATAGTTTCGTCGATTTTATATAAATGGTGCACCAAAGTCCCTATATATCTTTCGATTTGCACGAAATTTGGTATAATGTACCGAATTGATCATAGAGTGATGTCGGTCTAGTTTCGTGAAAATCGGTCAAGGTTTAGATATAGCTCCCATATATATTTTCGTCAGATTTTATGTAAATTTAGTCCAGAGTGATGTGTGCCAAGTTTCGTGAAAATCGGTTGAGATTTAGATATAGCTCCCTTTTATTATAGATTGATTTTAAGTAATTGACGCACCAAAACAAAACGTACTGAATTTACTATAACCTAACCTGTGACAAGTTTCGTTGAAATCGCTTCATATTTCTATATAGCTTTCATAAATATTTTCGCCCGATTTTAAGTAAGTTGGACATGAAACTCCTCATGTTAGTTAGATTGACATCAAATTTTCCACAACGTTGTTGAGGCCTACGGAATTACCCACAGGATTTATTATTCGATTTATATAAGGTATATGATTTTATCAAAGAGTTGACCATCTGTGAGGAGTTACCAAAATATGTTGCCCCATCTTGGTATTTTATGTTGGTTTAGTAAAAATATTACAATGTATTGAATCGGATAATTCATTCGCATGACATGAAATTTACAAGTTTTTTAGGGGATGTGCTAAATGGAGTGGACCAATAGTTTATCACCAATTCTGTCATTTTGATAATTTTTGTACGATGTAATACCGTTGACATTTTTGGATTCGGACGTTCCAGTGGTCGGTAATTATGCCAACCGTTAAAAGAATTTATGTCCTGTGAAATATTTAACTTCATATATGAGACCATGAATGAAAAACTAGCAAGAGTTCTGGAAGACTTCGAACGTAGCTTTAAAACGGAAAACTTTGAAAACTTGAATTAAAATTTGAATGATTAAGTTAACTGTAAATTAAGATACACTTTGGTTATGCTATGGGAAAACCAGCTGTAGCCAATACTATTAACCCATACAAACGAAGGAGGATAATAAATGCAACTGTATCCACATTTACAAGTTCAGCGGTTTTTTCCGAAAATAGGTCGGACTTATGCGGCAGTAGTACATATAGTCATTGTGAGCATGACAATGGAACATCAACGAGCTGAAGGAAACCAGTATCATTTTACGATGTTCAATCTGTCGTCCAATAAAGGAGCAAATTAGTATTCCGCTGAGGGTATTGAAATTTCAATTCCATGTCAATCGACATTCCACAGGGCTATCTACAAGGAACCTAGGATCAGAGAATACTTGTTATGCACGCTTTACTTGATGACATGGATTATTGACATTGACGCAAATACCTTGATAGCATTGATTACCAGACCGTGGTCCTCGAGAATCAAATCAAAAAAATGAAAGCTAAAACAACCGCAGAAAATCTTCTGAAGGGGTTCGATGAATAATTACTCTGGACAGATCATTGCTTCAGTAGTGAGTAGTTACGCATTGAAGATTTCTAAGGACTATCTGTGCCGCTGAAAGACTATACACAAATGCATGAACCTTAACTAGAAATGGTTTGCGTCTCCAGTCAACATAAGTCGAAAGAATCAGTGCTGTGAGCGTGTAAGACTTATACGAGAGTTTTACTTATACGAGAGATTCATCCACTCCAATGACAATGTCAATATTCAACGTCTGTGTGAGTTTGAAGATCCTTGTAATGTTAAATGTATGGAATTTTTCGTCTGGTAGGCCGGAATCACTATGTTTGAAATTTTTTTTCCTACGAGTTATTTTGACCCTCTGAAACCCTCAAATAACATACGTTTATATGTGTCATAGTATGGTATTTTACGTCAATGCAGGGGCATATAATGACCTGAAACCTAAAACACACACTTTGAATCTTCATCATACTTTGTTATTTGCTTTAATCTTCTTCAGTTGTATGCACATCAAAGATTATATATGACTGTATATAGGGTGTCAATGACTAAAATTCTGACATAAGAATGACTAGAATTTCTAGAATATCACTTTTATAAATAATCTTCATTTTTCACTTACCTATAGTAAACCCCCGATCACGAAATCCCCTCAGGATATCACCCAAGATTTCACCTGGCTTATCACATTTTCTCAAAGATATTCTCCCCAGTACATAGATGGGGAAAAACAACAGGGAGAAATTTGTGAAAAACCAGGCTGCAAAGAAGGGAGCACTAAAAATATTCGACGATTTTGGTGGTTCCGGTGGTATGCTGAATATTTTCGTTGCATCCTCAACATCCTCGAGGCTGAGCGTATGATCGTTCACCGGCAACAAAGAATCGATACCCAACTCCACACCCTGAATGTCGGTGACAAAATCCAATTCATCGGCTGCCAGCGAGTCGATATCATCGATTGCTGTCATATATGTGCTGCGATTTAGATATAGGAATTTAATACAGTGCGTTGCCCCCACCCATGATGCTGTGACCAGGATGGTGACACACACACCGAAATACATTTTTTGTGCCAATTCCGAACAGCAGGTTTCTCTGCAGGCTTTAAGGCGGGGAAAGCGAGTTGTTGTTGTGGCATTTTGTCCACCCTCTGTGGTGGGAGAGTCGCCATCAGCACCACCTCCACCCGGGCCACTGGTACCTGTTGCACCGCCCCCGGCGCCGCCACCACCACCTCCTCTTGCCGCAGGAACTGTACAGGATGATTCAGGATGTATGGTAATAACTTCATTAGGATCTTGTTGGCTAGACGATATTGAGTCTTGGTGGGTTATTTGAGGATTGCTTGCATTGAGTATATTGGTGAAACCGCCTCCATATGGGCCATTGGGTGAATCACCCGTTACCACAACAGAGGGCGTTCGAACACGATGCTGTTTGGGATTGAATATTGCTGGTATTTCACCGTCTCGCGTCATCCTCGGTTCGTTGCTGCTGCCGCTGTTGTTATTATTATTGACAACGTTAGTAGCCACTTTGGCTGCTGTGGAACGAACCGTAGATTTTTTAATAGAATTTCCTTGGGTGATTTTTTAAACATAGCTAATGGATGTTATTGTTGTTGTTGAGATTCGGCAATGGCATTTAAACATTATGTTTGATGAAGAGAATTGACTGAAAAGAGAAGAGAAAATATGTTATTAATTTTCACAATCGAAATTAAAAGAATATTTTTCAAGGATTTACAAAATAATATATTTTTCAAGAACCCATTACAAGGCGTGGATTTTTTAAAGAATATTTTTTAAGGACCCTTACAAGGCGGGGATTTTTTAAAGAATATTTTTTCAAGGACCCTTACAAGGCGTGGATTTTTTAAAGAATATTTTTTTAAGGACCCTTACAAGGCGTGGATTTTTTAATGAATATTTTTTTAAGGACCCTTACAAGGCGTGGATTTTTTAAAGAATATTTTTTAAGGACCCTTACAAGGCGTGGATTTTTTAAAGAATATTTCTTCAAGGACCCTTACAAGGCGCGAATTTTTTAAAGAATATTTTTTTAAGGACCCTTACAAGGCGTGGATTTTTTAAAGAATATTTTTTTAAGGGCCCTTACAAGGCGTTTATTTTTTAAAGAATATTTTTTAAGGACCCTTACAAGGCGTGGATTTTTTAAAGAATATTTTTTTAAGGACCCTTACAAGGCGTGGATTTTTTAAAGAATATTTTTTTAAGAACCCTTACAAGGCGTGGATTTTTTAAAGAATATTTTTTTAAGGACCCTTACAAGGCGTGGATTTTTTAAAGAATATTTTTTTAAGGACCCTTACAAGGCGTGGATTTTTTAAAGAATATTTTTTTAAGGACCCTTACAAGGCGTGGATTTTTTAAAGAATATTTTTTTAAGGACCCTTACAAGGCGTGGATTTTTTAAAGAATATTTTTTTAAGGACCCTTACAAGGCGTGGATTTTTTAAAGAATATTTTTTTAAGGACCCTTACAAGGCGTGGATTTTTTAAAGAATATTTTTTTAAGGACCCTTACAAGGCGTGGATTTTTTAAAGAATATTTTTTTAAGGACCCTTACAAGGCGTGGATTTTTTAAAGAATATTTTTTTAAGGACCCTTACAAGGCGTGGATTTTTTAAAGAATATTTTTTTAAGGACCCTTACAAGGCGTGGATTTATTAAAGAATATTTTTTTATTAAAGAATATTTTTCTAGGGCCAACTGAGGCGTGGATTTATTAAAGAATATTTTTCAGGACATCCACAAGGCCTGGATTTATTAAAGAATATTTTTAGCGATCTACGCAAGGCGTGGATTTATTAAAGAATATTTTTTTAAGGACCCTTACAAGGCGTGGATTTTTTAAAGAATATTTTTTTAAGGACCCTTACAAGGCGTGGATTTTTTAAAGAATATTTTTTTAAGGACCCTTACAAGGCGTGGATTTTTTAAAGAATATTTTTTTAAGGACCCTTACAAGGCGTGGATTTTTTAAAGAATATTTTTTTAAGGACCCTTACAAGGCGTGGATTTTTTAAAGAATATTTTTTTAAGGACCCTTATTTTTTAAAGAATATTTTTTTAAGGACCCTTACAAGGCGTGGATTTTTTAGAGAATATTTTTTTAAGGGCCCTTACAAGGCGTGGATTTTTTAAAGAATATTTATTTAAGGACCCTTACAATACTTTTTCAAGGACCCTTACAAGGCGTGGATTTTTTAAAGAATATTTTTTAAGGACCCTTACAAGGCGTGGATTTTTTAGAGAATATTTTTTTAAGGGCCCTTACAAGGCGTGGATTTTTTAAAGAATATTTTTTTAAGGACCCTTACAATACTTTTTCAAGGACCCTTACAAGGCGTGGATTTTTTAAAGAATATTTTTTTAAGGACCCTTACAATACTTTTTCAAGGACCCTTACAAGGCGTGGATTTTTTAAAGAATATTTTTTTAAGGACCCTTACAAGGCGTGGATTTTTTAAAGAATATTTTTTTAAGGACCCTTACAAGGCGTGGATTTTTTAAAGAATATTTTTTTAAGGACCCTTACAATACTTTTTCAAGGACCCTTACAAGGCGTGAATTTTTTAAAGAATATTTTTTTAAGGACCCTTACAATACTTTTTCAAGGACCCTTACAAGGCGTGGATTTTTTAAAGAATATTTTTTTCAAGGACCCTTACAAGACGTGGATTTTTTGAAGAATATTTTTTCCAGGGACACTTACAAGGCGTGGATTTTTTAAAGAATATTTTTTCAAGGACCCTTACAGGGCGTGGATTTTTTTAAGAATACTTTTTCAAGGACCCTTACAAGGCGTGGATTTTTTAAAGAATATTTTTGAAAAGGACCCTTACAAGGCGTGGATTTTTTGAAGAATATTTTTGAAAAGGACCCTTACAAGGCGTGGATTTTTTGAAGAATATTTTTGAAAAGGACCCTTACAAGGCGTGGATTTTTTGAAGAATATTTTTGAAAAGGACCCTTACAAGGCGTGAATTTTTTGAAGAATATTTTTCAAAAGGACCCTTACAAGGCGTGAATTTTTTGAAGAATATTTTTGAAAAGGACCCTTACAAGGCGTGAATTTTTTGAAGAATATTTTTGAAAAGGACCCTTACAAGGCGTGGAGTTTTTAAAGAATATTTTTTCAAGGACCCTTACAAGGCGTGGATTTTTTAAAGAATATTTTTTCAAGGACCCTTACAAGGCGTGGAGTTTTTAAAGAATATTTTTTCAAGGACCCTTACAAGGCGTGGATTTTTTAAAGAATATTTTTTCAAGGACCCTTACAAGGCGTGGATTTTTTAAAGAATATTTTTTCAAGGACCCTTACAAGGCGTGGATTTTTTAAAGAATATTTTTTCAAGGACCCTTACAAGGCGTGGATTTTTTAAAGAATATTTTTTCAAGGACCCTTACAAGGCGTGGATTTTTTAAAGAATATTTTTTCAAGGACCCTTACAAGGCGTGGATTTTTTAAAGAATATTTTTTCAAGGACCCTTACAAGGCGTGGAAAGAATATTTTTTCAAGGACCCTTACAAGGCGTGGAAAGAATATTTTTTCAAGGACCCTTACAAGGCGTGGATTTTTTAAAGAATATTTTTTCAAGGACCCTTACAAGGCGTGGATTTTTTAAAGAATATTTTTTCAAGGACCCTTACAAGGCGTGGATTTTTTAAAGAATATTTTTTCAAGGACCCTTACAAGGCGTGGATTTTTTAAAGAATATTTTTTCAAGGACCCTTACAAGGCGTGGATTTTTTAAAGAATATTTTTTCAAGGGCCCTTACAAGGCGTGGATTTTTTAAAGAATATTTTTTCAAGGACCCTTACAAGGCGTGGAAAGAATATTTTTTCAAGGACCCTTACAAGGCGTGGATTTTTTAAAGAATATTTTTTCAAGGACCCTTACAAGGCGTGGAAAGAATATTTTTTCAAGGACCCTTACAAGGCGTGGATTTTTAAAGAATATTTTTTCAAGGACCCTTACAAGGCGTGGATTTTTAAAGAATATTTTTTCAAGGACAAGGGCCCGAGATCTGTAGCTAGTCTTGAATTTGTAAATAATATTTCAAGGACTAGAACAAGGCGTGGATTTTTAAAGAAAATGTTGTCGAGGACCCTTACGAGGCTTGGATTTCTACCGAACATTTTTTTAAGAATATTTTTTGAGGGCTATTATTACAAGGCTTGAATTTCTCTGTCTTATAATATTCCCTCTAGAAATATTTAGGTTATAAGCAGTACATTGTAGCGTATGAGTAATCCTTCAGCACCCATCACTTATACGCCCATCATACACAATGTCTCACAAATAAATAAATTATTCAATATGAAAATTATAATTATAAATTGTTTTGAAATGGCCACGTTAGCAATCGCAAGCAGGACTACATTAAACATGCACAATTATTATTCGAATGCTCTTGGCATTGAAATGGAAAAACTGGCAAACAGACAGACGGATGTCATTGTCTTTTATGGTTGGCCAGCAGACGGACAACCTGACCGACTACATACATCAGAGAAATCAAAAGGGCAAAAAACTAAACATCTATAACAACAAAGACCACCGCATTTAATGGATTCCATTATACACATCCACACACACACACAAACAGCCATATATTATACGCAATAGTGTATTTTGTTCTTTGTACCACCACTGCCTTGGGTCAAAATGTTGGTCAGAGTGGTGGTGCTGGTTTGTTTTCATGTCCCATGTCATTGTATTGGGACATTTTGTATGAATTATAAATAAGGCGCATGATATTTATAAACTCATCTAGTTCGAGTGAATAGACCGGAAACTAGATGTACAATGTTAGGGTTGAAGGTAAGACAAATAGATTGAAAATGCTCGTTGTTGTTGTTGGTGCTGTAATTGGAATTGTAAATAAATGTTGATGGGGAATGGGGATAGAATGGGCTGGGGAAGACATACCGTTGACCCAGAATTGTGGTTATGGTCGCAAGCTTTAGGCTGATCGCTTTAATCGTAGATAGTTGATTTTTAAAGTTGATTTTTAAAGAATTTAAAAAATGATTCTGCATATTTATAGTAATTTATAAACGTGAGAACGTATATTTTTCTTGTATTTCATTTATGCCATAAAGACTGCATATAAATAGCATTAAATAATGTAAATATTAAAGGCAAAAAATAATTAATAAAAAATTGTTTTACCGTTCGCCACATTATGTTAATAAATTCTATTTAATGTTACACCTTTAACACCTGCTATTTTTAATATCACAGAATTAAATCCAAATATTTTCGTACCTTTGTATAATAAATGTGACGTTACCATAAACCAAACAGAATCCACTGAAATCCTTAATGAGCGGGTAATTTACATAAAATGTGTAATGTTTCCTTTTCAACGAGTTCAAAATACTCTAGCGCGTAAAAGTAACATTGAAATGAAGGTCTTGACCTTGCCCAGGCATAATAATTTGTAAATACTGCTTAGCGTCAAGGTAATGTGAATTCGAGGGGTTTAGAGGCACAGTGGAGAAA